TAGAGAATAGGTGAATAATAATTCGTTATATTAATTTGTGGAATAATTCTTCGTTAAGAAAATTAATAACTCAATCGCTCTAATTAGTAACTTTAATTAAGAAAATTTTTTTGAACAATAGAGCAGGTGAAATTTAAACGAAACAAACATTAATTAAGTAGATATACGTTCCCATTGCTCGGTCGAATAATTTTTATTTCTTCCGACCGTATTTTCCGCTTTTCAGAGAAACGAAAGCGTTCATAGTGAATAATAATTCCGTGAAATATGATCGTACTGAAAATTCGTTAAGAAAATTTTTTAAGCTAGGTGAATAATTTTTATTTCTTCATCCCACAGATGCTTTATTAAAGGAATTACGCCGTATTACAATACCGCGATTATTCGTTGTTGCAGGTAAAACGTTCTGCCAGTCTTGCAAGAAGAAGTGCAGCGGGGAGGTGCTACGAGTGCAGGACAAGTATTTCCACATAGGGTGTTTCAAGTGTGCTCAGTGCAACTCGAGCTTAGCGCAGGGTGGCTTTTTCGCTCGTGAGGGCTCTTACTACTGCACCAAGGTACTGCAACCTATATAAATAACGAACCTTCGCAACTACCACCGAAAAATTGAAAAAAAGAAAAAAAATCAAAATCCCCTCAACTACTGACACACAACTTCAATCTCCACTCTGTATCCATTTAATCTTCCCTCCAAAAAATGTTCATCAAAGAAACGCACCACATCACCTGGAAACTCTCGTCGAAAGATACTTGCAAAGTAAAATTCGCCCAGAAAAATGAAGAAGTAAAGAACTGTACACTTCCTGTATTAAACGTTTTTATCTTCACGTGCAAATAAACTGTCTCGATGACTGAACGAACGTTCGTTAAAAAGAGGGCGTATTTGAGTGACGCAGTTGCCTCCAGTGCGTCTGGCAGAATCGTTCGTAACGATCGTGTGGGCTTGTTAATTTTTCAGGATTACAGGGAACGCTGGGGGACGAAGTGCGCTGGCTGTGGCGAATACGTCGAAGGAGACGTGGTCACCGCCGGCGACAAGCACGCCTTTCATCCAAATTGTTTCCACTGTCAGAGATGCAGACAACCTCTGTTAGGCCAGGGAACTAAAGTGTCCCTCGTTCAGGGTGAGTTCACTTCGAGAACACCGTAGGACCCTTTTCGTTACTATTGTCCAGGCTTCCGGGTCGAAGTAGTGTCCTTGTGGGGAGAAAGAAGTATTTCACTCCGTCGGGATTCGAATGAGACGCTGATAGCGGCTCGTTGCTTGCTAATCACAGAGATCTTCAAGGGGTATTCTTCTCTAGGGTGTAATTTTTTAGTGTCTTCGAGATTTTTTTATGGAGAAACTATAAAAGCTTTTAGTATCAATTTTTGCACACATATTTATCTATGTTTTAAGAATGTTCGCTATTTTTTTTAAGCGAGAATAATCAAAATTGGTTGAATTATAAGTTACTTAGTACGGTCCCTAAAAAAAAGAAAGTGTTGTACTGGCTGACATAATTCTCCAGTCATTCTGCTTATCAGGAACGGAAAAGCCAAGATTGCTGATTAGTATGAGTGTGGCTATCTTGTGAACCAAGATAAGAAAAAGTATCGAAAATTTAGAAAATGGAGACACTGAAAGTTGAATATCCATTTTCTCCATTTTTTTTCTCGTGTTTTGTAAGTTCAAAAATTAGAAAAAAATTATTTTTTAGTAATTCTGATTCGTCGCTTTTTCTAGAAGGACACAGCTTAAACCCGGAAGCCTCGACAGTAATAATTGCGTAAGACCGGGCCGCGAAAGCCTCGAATCTTTGACGTAGGACTCCGCTCGTTATCTCGGAAGATTGCACAGTTGAAGCGTTACAGAGAACGAAGATACTCGTCGATTGATACCCGACAGTCGAAATTGGAGTACCGGTGAACCTGTTAACGCAAATTACCACTTAGGTGGTGTACCGTGGAACAACCGAGGCCTTACGGTTCACGCGTGGCCTTGTAACGATTACGCGGCGAACGCTTAAAAATATGCGCGTATCGCTTAGTTAAACGTTGCCCCGTTTCGGATCGCCTCATTGTTTACCGCGTGCAAATATTTATGCGCATCTTCCGCTCGCCGCTTTATCGATCTGCCCGATAAAGACGCGTATTTTTAGAGAGACAACTCCAGAAATACGATTTCCCGCGATTTTTGACCTTCGAACCCGCTCTTGCGAGCAAACTAGGATAGGGCATAGAAAAATCGTGTGGGAAAATTGTATCATCCCGTAAGTAACTCGAATTTTCCATAAAAAAATGTCGATAATCAACACAATTTACCTTGGAATCTCTCTTATGAATAAAGTAGAATATGCGTCGAAAAATCGTATCGTGTGAGGCAGAATTATATCATCTCATAAGCAATGCAAATATTCCGCGAAAAAGAAATTACGTGATAAGCAAATTTCCTCTGATAACTGACCTTTGAATCTCTTTCTGAGAAGAGTAGACTAAAGCATAGAATCGTACATTAAACGATCCCATAAGTAATGCAAATATTCTGCGAAAAAAAGAATTACGCGATAAGCAAATTTCCTCTGATAACTGACCTTTGAATCCCTTTCTGAGAAGAGTAGACTAAAGCACAGAATCCTAAATTCCACGATCCCATAAGTAATGCAAATATTCCTTAAAAATTTGTACAATAAACTAGAAACTTACAAGATGACATAACAAAGTATACAATAGCACGTTAGTACGGTAGCAGAAAATTCGAAAATGAGTAACCGGTAGCGATGGCGATCCCTGGAATCGAAAGTGTCAATCGACGAGTGAAAAAAAGGAGTCCTCGGTTTATTTATACACAGAGTCGCGCAAATCGAAGGTACAAACAAGCGTGAAAAGGCTTCTCTTCTTCCACGGTTCTCTTGGTTCGGCGCGTACGAGCGATGAGTCAGCCACGCGGTAAGATATACTACTCTCGCGATCGTTTCGTTTCTTTCTCGAATAAGAGACAATGGAGAGCGAGATGACGGCGGTGGAGATACGCGTGCGTCAGCGCGCGGACGGATCGTCGACCGGATCTGTTCAATCTCAACTAACAGCGCGTTGTCTATAGGTCAAGCTCTGTGTCATCGATGCGTCGGTATCCCGGTTCGAGAGGCCTCGACGCCGGTCGGGAATAGCGCTAACACCAGAGGATCGGCAGACGGGCCATCTGACCCTGGTGCCTGCGCTGGTTGCGGAAACCAATTACGGGAAGGACAGGCTTTGGTCGCGCTCGATCGACAGTGGCACGTATGGTGTTTCAAGTGCCACAGCTGTGACACCGTGCTCCACGGCGAGTACATGGGAAAGTGAGTCTTCGAGAAGTTGGATCTCGGTTTTTTTTTTCAAACGTGGAAGTCAGCTTTGGAACGACAACGATGGAGTTTAGAGTTGATTACCCTTTGACGCTTTAGATTTTACTGGAAATTGCACTCTTTTGCTACGTGGAGGTCACTTTGGAACGATAATGATGGACTTTAGATTTGTCAACCCTTTAACACCTTAGATTTTACTGAAAATTGCCCTTTTTCCATCTGGAAGTCACTTTGGAACGCTAATGATGGAGTTTAGATTTGCCATCCTCTTTTAACGCTTCAACACTTTAGATTTTACTAGAAAATTACCTTTTTCCCTATTTGGAAGTCACTTTGGAACACTCATGATGAACTTTAGACTTGTCAATCCTTTTTAATCCTTCAACACCTTAGATTCTATTTGAAAATTGCCCTTTTTCCCGTCTGGAAGTCACTTTGGGGCACTAATGATGAACTATAGACTTGCCAGTCCTTTAACACCTTAGATTCTATTAAAAAATTGCCTCTTTTCCCACCTGGAAGTCACTTTGGAACGCTAATGATGGATTTCAGACTTGTCAAGCCTTTAACGCCTTAAATTCTATTAGAAAATTCCCTTTTTTCCACGTGGAAGTCACTTTGCAATGCTAATGATGGACTCTAGACTTGGTAACCCTTTCACACTTTAGATTTAACTAGAAAATTGCCCTTTTATCCCACCTGGAAGTCACTTTGAAACTCTAATAATGGACTTTAGACTTGTCACCACTTTTTAACCCTTTAACACCTTAGATTCTATTAAAACATTGACAGCTCACTGGACAATACATTCTGGACCGCACACGCTGCGCCTGTATCATCAAACGTATTAATCCTCCCTCGCACACATCCCAAATTTTCAGTTTCTACATACGCGCGTAACGGAGGCGTAATCGCAAATCACTGGAAAGCAGTGTTTCTTACATAGAAAGGACTCAGCTTCAAATTAAAACTTCTTTCCTCCGATTCAAGGTTAATTACATATTTCACGTTCGTGAACATCGAAGTTTAATCCTTTCTATTAATAAATCTTCGTTAAAAAAATGATACAAGCGAAGAGTTTGCTCGTAGACTAGCAAAGTTAGAGAAAGTTTGCTCTACAAACTTAAATTTCGCTGAATTTCGATATCCAGTACAAATTAGCGAATACATTCCCGTAACACGCTAGATTAAGATCAGAGAAAGTTCCAGTTAAAGTGCTCCAAGATTGTCCAGATCGTTCACCATCCAGAAATTTCGACTTAAAGTGCTCCAAGATTGTCCAGATCGTTCACCATCCAGAAATTTCGAGTTAAAGTGCTCCAAGATTGTCCAGATCGTTCACCATCCAGAAATTTCCACCGATAAACTTCTAAAAACTCCTCGATTCTGACGAACGCAGAGATGGTGTGCCTTACTGCGAGAAGGATTATCAGAAGCAGTTCGGCGTGAAGTGTGCCTACTGCAATCGTTACATCAGCGGCAAGGTGCTTCAGGCCGGGGACAATCATCATTTCCATCCAACCTGTGCTCGGTGCACCAAATGCGGCGATCCTTTCGGTGACGGCGAGGAGATGTACTTGCAGGGCGCGGCCATTTGGCATCCGCGGTGCGGTCCGGGGCCCAGTGGGCCTAACGGCATAGTAAACGGCCACGGCGAAGCTCACACGCCCCAGCATCGAGAGTCTGAGAGGATCTCGAGCAGTGCTTCAGAGATGCAGGTAAGATCGCGAAGATCAGACAAGTGAAAGAAAGAGACAGAAACAGAAGATTGTCAACTTGTTCGAGCGTTTTGATGGCGAGGTGATGAAAAAGCAGTCAAATAGGATGAGACTGTTCGTTAAATTTCGCAATTCTTCGTGGATTTTTTTAATGTTTTAACAAATCTTTTTGTCGCGAACGCGAAGGTTGTTTTTCTTTTTTTTTTGGAAATTGGAACTGGCGAATTGTATATTTGTTTTGTAAGATACTGTATCATAGGTGTACATTCGTTTGTGTATAGTTTGTTTCATTTTTGTCGTTGTTAATCGTGATCATTGGTAGCTGGTATACTTTTTGGACAATTTTTTAAGATTCATATCACTCATGGATTTTAAATCATTGAACTTCGTAGAGGAAACGTGTCATCTACATTATCCGTTGCGAGTTTAACGCTCTCCTCATCCGTTCGTTCATTATCTCACGTAACGTTCGTTTCTTATAAATTTTTACATTTCGACATTAACCGCGTCTGTGCACGTCCGCAAAAATATATGCATTTTTCACGATCATTCTGCATCGTACGGCCGTGCGTTGAACGTGCAACTAAATTGTATCCGTGCTCTGTGCACGCACGAAATCCTTCAAGTCTACAAGTTCGATCGTAAAACAGAAGAGAGAGAGAAAAGTAAATAATCAAAGGGAAGTATTTGGACGTCGAGTCAGTGTGCTTCTGGCTCGAGAGACATGAAATACGAAGTTCAGCTTGCATCTTGCTTTTATATATTTGGACTGTTGTATCACGACACCACCGTTCCGTGCGTTTTTGCTGCTCGATTCATTATTTTTGTGCCCACGGAGCAATTTTTTTTTTTAGCGTAGATCGATCTAGAAAGCCTTCTACTATTATTTATTATTGTTTTTTTAATCATTCGTATCTAGCTTTGTGTATAGCTTCATTTTTTATACATTCTGTACTCGACGACATTTTATATGTGGCTTTTAACATGCATTTGTTCCTTTTTTAACATGTATTTTTTATCGCACGCTTCGATATTCAGAATTTTTTCGATATATCAGTCTGTTTATTATTATACATATCTATTGCGTATATTGTAACGTACATACTACAACGATTTTCTTTTGTCACCCACTATGATTTCTCGTTATTATTTTTTATTTTTATTATTGCTTTCTCTTAAACGTTGTTTAATTTTTTTTCGCACGATCATTGTGTATAGTTTTCATTGCGGTCACGCACGCCAAGCCTGAACGGATCACTCTGCAGCCCTTACAGCAGCCTCAGTCGCAAGGTATGCCATGTATCTCCTAGCACGACCGCTCTCTCAAGAAACACCCTGAATTTATTTAAGAAGAAAATGAAAGAAAGATTCACAGTCTGTGAAATGCAAAAATTCGAAAAATCTCACAGCTCCTGTACTTCCATCCTCAGCAGTTCTCTTTTTCAAGGGTATTCGAGGAGTAAAGATGGTGGTGGTGAACGCTTTGTAATTCTTAATCATTCTCAGTAGATACAGAAAATTGCAGAAAAAGAAGAAACGGAAGAAATCGCAGAAAAATAGTGCAAGATCGTTAAACACGTAAAAAATGAGAAGAAAGGGTAATTTTTATGAACTTAATTAAGCGGGGTACTACAGTGCGACAGATTAACACCATAAACGACCCCACTCTAACCCACGTAGTCTTCATTTTCGTAACCTTGATACTGAAGAATCTCGGCAATTTTCAATCTACCTTGAAAATCCCCTTAGCTTTCACAGCCGCGAAAGAAGATTCCTCTTCGTTTCGAAGCACTCACCTAAACGCGTTTCTTGAGAGAGTGGGTCAAGCGCGTTCTTTTATTTTTTTCTTCTTCAATCTTCCTTTTGCTCAGTAAAATAAGCTAAGAGTTTAGCGGTATGTTGAGAGAGAGAGAGAGAGACGCTTTAAGAATCCGTCGAAAAAAAGGCAGCCACGAGTTTAGCCGTGATAATATGCGTTAATTGCCCCAGTATTACCCCGCGCGAACTGGCAGTCCCGGATTGATATTGCGAGAGTACGGCCGCGGTCCATCCGAAGACGTGTCTAGGATTTATACTTACTCGTACTTGACCGAAACGCCCAGCCAAGGATACTTGAGACGTCCTATACAGCCGTACGACAAACCACCGACTAGCCCACACTTTCATCGACCCAGCTGTAAGTACACACACTCCGCTCGTTTGACAAATAAAATTCGAAAAAAAAAAGGAGTAACCAAGAATTCTTCGGTTCCTTCGGTGTTCGGATACAGTTCTTTGATTCGGAAGAATAATAAAAAAATAATGCACACGAAGAGCGATCGTGAACGGTGGAAAATGGACGTGCCTCTTAAATTCTGCCCATCGTGTTTCGTTCCAGCGTCACGTTCGATAAGAAGCAGCGGCGGACGCAGCAGCCGATCTGGAATGCGAGCTCTGGTCGATGCTCTCAGCGAGACCAGACCGAAGTCACCGGCCAGTCAAGTAGATAATGACGAGCCAATAGAGCTGGCGCATTATCCGGACGCCATGAAACCTCCTCCTGGAGCCAAGCCGCCGATCGAGAGGGACGATTTCCCTGCTCCACCTTATCCTTACACGGATCCTGAGCGACGTAGACGATGGTCCGACACTTACAAGGTACCCCTATCTATTCCGTTTTAACGCTTTGCGTAAAATAGATCTAGAACGAGATTTCTATTCCGTGTTCTTCTCTCTGCGAGTCAGGGTGTACCTGCGTCGGACGACGAGGACGAGGTGGATAACAACAAGACGTATATAAAGGAGGTGGAGGAGAAGCTAAAGAAGGAACACGACGAGCTGAGTAAAATCGACACTGGGATAGCGAAGGTGTTCTTGCAAGATCGTGAGAAGGATCGGGAGAATTTGAGACACAAAGCGGCGAACGTGGATCCTAGGAACGCATCGAGAACACCATCGGCTGCCAGGGAACCGACTTATAGATTACGATACGAGAGTCCAGTTGGCGCGTGTAAGTTGCTCTCGTTAATTGCATCTTTTGTATTTTTCTTTCTTATCCTATATACGAGTAAAATGTACGGAATGATTGTTGCAGCGCCATCGAGAAATATAGATCACGCCAGACCGTGGGAAGACGATGATGGCTTCAGTTACAGGTCGAGCGTAGGGCCAAGTTACAACGGTAAGTTCTTTCCCCAAATTCTATCGGAGATCTAGTTGTCACTATTATACGTTCGCACATAACACTAACATTTACCACTCTACCGTTTAAAGTAACATCGGATTGTTAGATACCGTGGCGAATAGCGGGGGTGGGGGCAGCTAAAAAAGTATCGTCCCTTTCGTAAAACCGATAAAGTAAAAATAAAGAAAAGAAAAAAAATAGAAAAAAAAGCAAACAGATAAAGAAAAAAAAAAGAAAATAATGTTTCTCTCTATCGTGGAACGCAACGTTGCAACGTGCGAATCTTGCAGTGGGAAGGGGTGATGATGATGATGATGATGATGATGATGATGATGCTCGATTAACGAACGAATAACACACAGTGCGTGTAAACTCGAGCAGGAGTATTCTAAAGTTAAGTGGCATAGCACCAAATACCACAGCACACACTGGGCGCCCATTAACGTAACCAGGTGATGTATTTATACCGCTTCTGCATGTGGTCGGCATATTACCTTCGATGTGCTTGCCTCTCTTCTTATCTCTTTCGATTGATCTCTATCTATCTATCTGTCTATCTATCCATCTATCCATCTATCTATCTATCTATCTATCTCTCTTTCTCTCACTATACGCCAATAAGATATAACAGAAATACATTACATATAGCGTGCGTGGAAAGTTCATCCTTTCAGAGTAGTAGCGTGATCGATTCGATTCTCCCATTATATTTCATACGTGATTATTCATTCAGTATATATATGTACGTATATACTATTAGACAATATTTGTTGCTCTCCCACCATATTATTCCTCCTTCATCTCTGGCATGGTAATATAACTATTATAAATCACAAATCTTGGCAAAACTTCGTTCATTCATCACACGAACACACATCGCTCCAAACTTCATTCTCTCTCATATACTTTTTTGGAATGTTTTTTTTTCTCTTTTTTTTTTTTAATTATTAGTTACCACACAATATTGGAAGATAAATACTGTATAATTTTGTGCTATATATATCTATATATATATATACACGTATACCTGCGTGTACATATTTTCTTTCCGCAGCATGAACAAAGTTGTATCTCTATCAGCACTGCATTTTACATATACCATTTGTATCGCTTTTTGCGTACAGAAAAGGAAAGAACGTCGACGGTAGTACCTGTTATTTTTCCTTTTTTCCTGTTGTGTATTTCTATCGGTATACGTTACACACGTGTATCTTTGTCGAGCCTTGTCTCTTTCACTATCTTCCAATGTTGGCGATCAATTTTGAGAATAGAAAAGAAAAAGAAAAAAGAGTCGATATAGGATTTTACCGCTATCTACGTTAGCCAACACCGCTACCTGTATCATCGTATCTCTATTTTGTGTTTTTGTGTTTGTGTTGTGTTTGCGTGGGCGGCAGTTGGGAGGTCATCGGCACGTTCCCCGGCTCCCAGAAACTATCCACCCCTTGGTACTCAACGCGCCTTCACTCTTCCAAACGCCGCTAGGCACTATCATTCGGTGAGTCCGAGAACTTTCCAATTCACCTACCGTTGATCTCAAGTCAAGTCCAAAATTAGCGTACACCACCGGTCGAACAAAACTAACCGGAGAAATTTCGTCTGACAGCGGCGTGAGTGCGCCTTGCTCTCAGCGAATTTCGTTTCTTCTGTGAAATTCGCTCTTCTGTCAACTTTCAAAGAGAAGAATCGGGGGAAAAAAGATAGTCGAGTAAACCGAGAGGGAAGAGTGAAAATTCGCTCGATACTGTTCCACACGGAGCTTTACGAGCGAGTTATCTCCATCGGTGGCGTTTAATCTCTTCGGACGAGTTCGAAATGTTTGAGAAAAAGGAAAAACGAGACTTCTCGAGAGCAGCCGTCGCGTGAAAAAAGAACGTAACAAGTGGAGAAATGCATTTCGGTTGATGCCGATGCTATGTATACGATTCGTTGACTTGTCTTCACGGGAGGCATGCTTTTTTGTTCTCTTAGCTTATTTTTCAAGAATACGAACGTTTATCGTACTTACATTATACACACAGGTGCTGGCTTCT